AGAAAGTTAGGATTCTTGTGTTATTTATCATAGAATCCACCCCACATTTTTTTAAAGATCATAACCCCGAACAAATGACGTGCACCTCAGCTTGTGTAACACGTGACAAATATAAGTGTGCCATTACATTTGATGAAGCATGTGTTTATTTAACTACAGCATCTGATACAACATTTCGAAGATGACACAGAACATGTCGCGGAAGTGTTTCTAAGTGATTTGTAACGCTTGCAGATCACAGCTATAATAATGAGTTAAATGTCAAAGTGAACTCTATATAACATCAGACTATATTATACCGAAAGGAAATATCACTTTATAACATACTATATACCAAAAAGATATGGCTTGATCAAGGAATGTCCAAGTCAAAATGCCAATTCCTCCACAATATGCAAGTTAAAAACGAGAATTCATGCTATACTGTGATTTCTCAGACACCTCCCATAGATTTCTGTGCGATTGAACCGCTAAACAGGCTTTTAGAAGTCGTCATATATGTACAACTAATGAACTTTGAAAACATTTAAAGAAGGCAGCAACATTAACCTCGGTGTCTTATGTAAGTCCCCCGATGGACAGTGGTAAATCTACGGTTTTGCAACAATAAAATCCGGGGTTTGATTCCTCGCAGTGGACACAGCAGTTAGTCCAATTTGGCTATGCTCTAAAACAACAACAAACTATTACGCAAAATCCTCCTACAGTAAAATTTATACTGCTGACCAATAGACCATAACCAGGATCTTCACACAGAACATCATTAGTGGTAGAAGAAGGTCTAGGTTCTGGTCCTTGTATCACTACTGTAAATCGTGAACACCCACTCGTAATCTATACTTAATAGTCTTTATTTTTGTTCAGTCGTTTTTGTGAACAAGACAAATTCGTATCAGTAATGGTTACAGAAAGTATTTTGGATTTTATTTTGTGAACTTTGGAGGAGATGTTATTTGGTAAAACAATATAATTTGATTGAGTAAGAATGTTGACCTCTAAGATGTAAGCAGGTTCACATTTTTTATCTGAATGTGTAAAGAGATTTGATTTGAATACGCGCAAAGCTACACGAGGGCAATATACGATAGCTATCTCTAATTTTACAGTGATAGACTAGAGAGAAGGCAGTTAGTCAATACCATCCACCGCCAACTCTTGAGCTTCTCTTTTTACAAACGAATAATGAGATTGACCGTTACATTATAACGACTTCACGGCTGAAAGAGCGAGCATGTTCGACGATGGGGGTTCGAATCCGCAATCCTCAGATTGCGATTCAAGTACCTTAACCATCAAGCCATGCCAAGCCCCAACTAGAACATAATCAGAGTTTCAGTTCTTAAAACTGGGATTCCATTTTTTGGGGGAGTGGGGAGAAAATTATAAACAATCAGTTATGTAAACAATAACTAGGTGGAAAGGATATTTTACTTATTCATGCTATAGTTACCTTTCTAGCGAGTAAATGTTTTCGAACTTATTGTTGGCTAGGAGTTTTTCGTTAAATAAGCTTTTTCAGGGCAGGATGAAGTTGAATAGATATCTGTGAGGACACAAGAGCAAGAGGTTGAATTAATGGTTGAAAGAGCAATGATAACAGTAGTGCACCTGATAATCTGTCAATATATCCTAGTGAGACCCTCACTACAGCTGATGGATACTGACTTCCTTCTGACCAAATGACGATAGTCTAGATATTAGGGGAGAAGTAGATCTTTACTTCTGTCTAGTAAATTTCACTCACAGAATGAAGTTAGTCATCTCCATTCTTAAATTTGGTATCATCAGTATGGATGTACTGTGAAAGTTAACTGTCATTTTTTCCTGTGCAATAGGTAAGCTGATTTTCCACAGGAGAGTCATCCAATGCCAGTCATATCAAATCCAGATACAGTGGACTGCACGAGTGTATGTAACAGAGGAAATAACAGTATTTTTATGTATACAAGTAGTGTTCTGTGGTTGATTACATATCTAGTCCAATGTTACCATGTGATGTGGTTGTAGAAGCTACATATGGAATAAATGGTTTCTTGTACATAATATAGGCAGCATTAACTCAGATAGTGAACTGCCTGACTAGGATTGAATTCCTTTTGTTGTTTTGTAGCTATGGGTGATCAGATGTTCAGCTGGATGTTGGAATAGTTTAGGCATGGTAAGCAGTGGAAGTAACAAGACTATTGGTAATGCTATGGTTGCATTCATTGCACCATGGCCGAAACCAAGTACATTGTTACCAACAGGCTGGAAATAATTGTTTGACAATTGTACAAACAGTCTAGACCTAATTCGGTGAAAAACACATCAGTGACTTTTTAGTTGAATATGTTAGTGTATTTGACGAGATGGCCAAATGGGTAAAGAATGGTGGTTCAATAGCAAATGGATACAAGCAATGCATGTCAAATAAAGCAGAACTGGAGAACTAGGGAGGTTTCTAGCGATGAAGTTCAGTGGAATTTGAAAGAAGAAAGAAGATACAACAAGGTTTTCTGTTGGATTTAGATAGGTGAGTTTCATTACTCACGTTGACACCGTTCCTTTACTGCAAATAGACGAAAGTCTGAACATGTTAGAAAGTTCTCAATGGTTCTACATCTGACATCTGAATAATGGTAAATCCAGTTGGACAACGAGAACACGACCAATACTGTTTTGGATACAACAAATATTGCTATAAATTCAGCATTATGCCATTTAGTCTGTGTAATACACCTGCCACTTTCAACAAGCTAATGGAACCTACACTAAAAGGAAATTCAATAAAATAGGTGCTTGGTCTATATCAAAGAAGTTGTGGCGTTTGGTTTCATTTTCAAGTCTGTGACTGAGAACTTTTAAACGGTATTCCAGTAGATAAATAAAGCATGCTTAAAACTGAAACCTGGAAAGTGCTCACTCATGCTCATAAAAGTGGAGTTTTTTAGTCACATTTTGGAAAGAGGTGGAGTCTCTATGGACCCTGATAATATAGTTATAGCAAGAGGTTGGTTTTGACGTGTAACCAAATGAGAGTTTTC